TTTCGTAAATGTATAATATATATATATACACGATTGTCGATTTCTCTTTTCAACATCAAAAAAAAAAACTCAATAAAATTGCAATATTATAACTGCATTATGTTTCATAATTAAAATTATATCAATAAAAAGCCCCGATTTTTTTATTGTGTCCCGGTTTTTTAAGGTCGATATCCCGAAATTGGTTGATCAAAAGTTGATCACCCAACTCTTATCTGTCAGTTTTCCCACTTAATTACAACATTCTTCGTCAGTCAGAAATATTCGCTATTATATCTCTCGTAAAATCTGATATTGCTTATAACTCGCAGAATATTAATAGCTCGACGCTTTTCTATCCGACAGTAATCGATCGAAGATTTTAAATCCATGGGAGAATCTTTCATTAAAATTCAAAGCGAGAAGAATGAGAAGACATCTTATAAAATACTGCTTAAAGATTAAAGGGGAAAAAAAAAACGTAATACACTCTTCTTCCCTAAATTATATCGTTATATAAATTTTTTTTACGAATTATTTTCATTGATCGATATCTTCGAGATAAGAAAAAAATGAACGCCTTTTTAATTTATCGCAAAGATGGCGAATCGTGGGATCGCGTCGCACGCAAGCTACCTCGCAGTCTCCAACTCATAGATCACGACGACGGGGCGTATTGTCTCTCCCTCTTGCTCGTTAACGTCTGTGTGCGCGCCTATTATCCGACTCTATTTTCCAATCTATCCTCGTACACGAGGCGCACCTTGTCTCGTCCAGGCCGCTGCTAGTCTTCTTCTCCAAGCGAGTGCGGAGCGATGCGCTCTTTGTCTCGCACTCCAAATAGGCGGCACTCAAGACTCGGCACAAAGAGCGGCGAATCCGGCCGAGACGTGATAACGGAGAGCAAGAAAGCTCAAGATAAGACCGAGGTCCCTCGCAATCGCGCCGCTCTATAACGTCGACTCATTCTCGAGGGAATATATACAGACACGTATACGGTACGTTCGTACGTTGTTGATAGCCTAATCGCTAGGCTAATCGAGTTGAGTCTCCAAATTGAAATTGATCGTAAGCTGTGAAGAGAACGATTTCATACTCGCCCCATTAATATTATATCAAATTTTATTACACCCTGTGAACATTTTTTATTCAATTCTTCAACGATATTATTGTCGCTTTTATAGCATATTAATAGATTAAATTTTAAAGAGATCTATCATAAAACGAGAAAGCCTTCAAGAAGTAATTACAATAATAAGTCGTAAAAAATATTGATGTAAATATTTTTTTTACGAGTGGTTATACATATATATATATATATAAACACACAAGCGCATTGTATCAATATGTTTTAAAATAACATGTGACTAGATAAAAAAAGTATCTAAAAATAAGTACAATAATTATTCATCTTTTGCAATCTTTCATCATTGAATTCAATCATTAAATATTATATTAATATTATATTAAATTTTCGTAAATGTATAATATATATATATACACGATTGTCGATTTCTCTTTTCAACATCCCTAGCTCGAACAATCGCGGAGTCTCGGTCATCCTATCGCGATGCACGCGATACTCGTGGATGCACTCGGCGAAGCCGCGCAGTGCATACGTTGCATACGCACACACGTACACAGTGCTCATCGAATGAGAGTGAGAGAGAGGGGAAGAGAGAGAGGGGGGGAGGGGGAGAGTCGTTCAAACGAGGGGCCCGCAGCGCCTGGGCTTTGGGCCTCGTCGCGTGTTTTTGCCCCCCGTCTGGTCCCCACCGCGGCTCATCGTTTTTTGTCTGGTGCACCGCATGCTCTGCACAGCTCACCTCACCTCCTCTTCAGTTCGCTCGACGTACCACCTCCTCCTCCTCCTCCTCCTCCACCCCCTTCTTTTTCTGTCGAGTTCTTGTCGTGCTCTCTCTCTTTCTCTCTCTCTCTCTCTCTCTCTCTCTCTCTGCCTTTCAATCAGGGCCGGCGTGGGTAGGTATAAGTATGCTTACGATACTTCGTTTGCGAAGTATCGATGCTGAATATTTTCGATCACTTGGATATAATAAAAATATATTCTCTCTATAAAATTTTAATTTATGTTTGTAATATGTATATAAAGAATTCAAGGTTTTTATTTATTTATTTATTTATTATTATTTATTATTTTTATATGAAAACAGATTTATAAAATTTTCCCCGGAAGAAAGTGATAGATATTTGATCTTGAGAATTTTATCCGAGTTTTTTAGATTTGAAATTGATTTAAATTAAATTTTTCTTTAAATTCCGAATTGTTAAAGATCATATCAAAAATTTTATTTTCCACTAAGAAGAACTTTATGCAATAAATATGCGTGACACCGAAACGTTGCTATTTTTGGAATTATAACCGAAATTGCTCGTGCAACGACATACTATAATGATACCGAATGAAATAAATTATTCGTGTCCGATACAAACAAGCTTTGAAAGCGTACATCTTTCGTTTTAAATTATTTCGTAATTTTCGATGCCATGCAGCCTACATTTTAATTCTTCTGGAAACTTCATTATCAATATAACTCGAGCCATTACTAAATTTTTCTACATAATCAAATAATAAAGAAATGAAAGATACTGTTTTATCCTCGCATTTTTGTGAAAATTAAAAAATTCGTCGAAAGAATTGATTACAAAAAAAAAAAGAGCAAACTGTTTTACATCGAATCGCAAAAACAAACGGTTAAAGAAAGCGACGCGACACGAGCATCGATATAAATCGCCGGTTCGACGAATATTCGTGACCCGTCCCTGCTCTCTCAATCTCGTCGTCATCGGTCCTTCGCCGCGCTGCATCCGAGCTGTATCTCCCTGGGGCCCCGAGACACGCGCACGGACACGCGTGTCCCTGCCATGAGGTAGAAGAGGAGGAAAACAAGGAAGCGGTGGAGGCCATCGCGCGTCGAACGAAGCCGGAGAGACCGAGAAGCTGTTCCGCGATCGCTACCGAGAGGCGGCCGGCGAGAAGGGGAGGGAAGATACGGTCGCTCGATCTCTCGATGCACCTGCCGACGTTGACGTTCGCGGAGCCGAACGGCGTTTCGCGATCAGACCGTACGATGCTCAAAAAGGATCGCGAGATCTCGATAACAATGGTTCGGCCTTTCTGCGACTCGAGAGTCTGTCCTTTTCATGAATTTTCTTGTTGATCTCGACGCATTGAGTGTTCCGCCAATTTCGATTAATTGTTTAAATGTCTGTTGAAAAATTGAAAATTCAATAGTAAAGAATATTAGCTCTAAAGAATCGTCATTCTTTATAAATCTCAGAAATATTATATAATTTTTTAACAATATACAGGGTGTTTCCTAAATAGGTACACAAACTTGAAGGGGATATTTGTTGGCTTGTTTTAAGAAGAAAAGGTCCTATAAACATGTGTTCTAAATTGCTTCGTTTTTAAAATACAGGGTGTCAAAATTGTGCAAAGAAAATTAAAATTTCAAAAATGTGGAAAACGTTTAAAGATATTTTATTCAAATTTATTACATATATAATACATAAATTTATTACATATTATTACATACTTTTATTACATATTATTACATTTTTTTTTATTATTACATTTTATACATTTATTACATATTATTACATATACAGAAACACCCTGTATAATGATTTCTCTAAAAAGGTGTGAAGAAAAAATTATCTTCTTAAAATCATTTTGCACATGATGAAATTTTTATTTTAAAAATAGGTCTCGTAATGGGTTAATTGGCTTTATTAATGGTACATGTGACTTGTTAAGATACATGATTTGATAACTGAACACTTTTATGGGAATTTTTAATAAAGATTTTTGTCAGAATACCAGAGGAAGACGGATCACACGCGCTTCTTTTCGCTTGGAATCAAATGTGAATGTATCATATAATCAGACGCCAATTAGTGACTAGCTGCTCCCTAACGAATTTATTACCACACCAAATACGTGTATTTCTTTTGATTTATGTGCGTTTAGCTGCACGCTCTGATGAAACGATATTACTTGACTGATTATAACGGCTCGCTCTCTGTATATGTTAGACGCGAGACGCGTCTTTACGACCGCGATTATGCTCGCGAGTCCTTGGCAGCAGCAAGGAAAATGACATTTAATCGTTTCCACGTGTCGATGATATGTGTGTCGACTCGGCGAACCGTGCATAGGACATGACTCGCGTCACGATCGTTGAGTTCTAACAACTTAGTTAGTCCTGAGATACACGACACGCGAAAGTACATGCGGTATTAACACTATTTATCTTTATATCATACATTTCTGTAAGTAACAAATTTTTATTCATTTCTTTTATTCATATCATTGACGTATCATTTAATGTACCCTATTCTCATTTTTATACTACACACATAGTGTATTGTTGGAATTGTTATATTGTATTTTTGCACACATGTATGCGTATATAATTTACACACATTATATGGTAAATTAAATGCTAAAAAAAA